AAGCATACATAGGCTTTAATATTTTACAGGATAAAGGCAAAAAAGTTTATAATTTTTGTATTATAAACAATATATATATATATATATATATATATATATATATATTATAAAAAAAAATTAAATTATATCATGAGCCCGTTATTATTATTCTTTTAATAAGATTCTAACCACATGATTCTTATAGTAGCTAGATTAAAAACAATTTCTTAACAAATTATCTTCTCTAACGAGTTTTCATTTTAATTTTTGATTTTATTACTTCTTTAGGCTATATATATATATATATATATATATATATATATATTGCAAAAAACTTTAAAAAATATAATATGAATTAAAAATATAAACCTATATTAGATTGTACATTTAATATAGTGATAATTTTTTAAAAACATTATTAAATTATTAAGGTAGAATCTAACAAAAAAAAATTAATGAAATTTAAAATATCAAATATTATCATCACGCTTAAATATTAAAATAAAATAAATTATAATTTTAAAAATTTTAAGGTATTTATAAAAAAATCATTGTAATTTTAAAAATTTTAAGGTATTTATAAAAAAATCATTATAATTTTAAAAATTTCAAGGTATTTATAAAAAAATCATTATAATTTTAAAATTTTCTTTTCTAAACTTCTTCGTTTATAAATTTATCCAAAGTAAAGAAGATATTATTTTTAAAATTCAGAAAAAATATATGTTTTTTAATAAAAATAATTATTTATTACTCTTTTAGAAAATTAATATTTAGTAGTTTATAAAAAAATTAAGAATCAAAAAAAATTCAAAGTATATATAAAATTTAAGAATTAAATTACTTATTTATTTCGGGATCTAAGAAGATATAATAGTCTTATTGATCATATTTAATGATTTTCTTCTATTTTACTATATTGGAGTGTTTTCTATTTTAAAAACTGAATTGTAAAAATTTATATCATAAATTGAAGTTTTTTTGTATTATAGAATTAATTTGATGATTTAATTAAATTAATAACAATAATAATCATTACTAGGAAAACTTAGTGGATCTATTAAATAGTGAAATAATTGTATATTTTGTTGAATATTTCTTGTACTGAATTTAATATTAGTAGTTAAATTAGAAAATTTCTAAAGTCCACTCTTACACATACATTCTTTCATTTTGAGTTCTTATATTTTTATTTCTAAATATTGTCTTTAAATTAATAATGTATGAATGTATGTATGTATGTATATATATATGAAGAATTAATTTTTTTGATAAATGTATTGTCAAATTTTAAATACTTTTTAGATATTTAATTTAATTTTTTATATGCTTTGTTTATATTATAATAATTTAATACTTTTAGATACCTAAATTTACAATAAAATTTATTTATTTAGATAAATAGGAAGAAAGCACAAAGTAACTCCTAAATTTTAAAAAATTTATTCAAGTTAAAATAACTTAATATTTCTATTCTGATAGACATAGTTATCTTTGTTTTAATAAAGTATTAATTGAGTATTAGTTCAAAAATAATTTCTCCCCTAAACTTGCATATTCTAATTTTTTGTCTATTTGATATCAATATTATTTCTTGTAGTAATATTAAAAAACTGAGTTATTAATTTTCTTGAGTTTCTCGATTGTTATTCTTCAAAAAAAAAAAAATAATGTCAATGTAATATTTACATAAAGAACATGTTTAATGTGCTAAAATATAAAATAAATCTAAAAATATAAAAACTAAGCATGGATAACCTAATTTTATTTGATATCACAGAGCATGGAATTCATTATTACACACAATATACTTTAGATTAAATGGTTATATTTTTTAAAATACCAAGTAAATTTAAAAATAATATATTTTTCATATGAAAATCAATTAATACAAATATCACCATGAAAAGATGTAAATACTCTAGTATTTATCAATCACAAAATTTTGGTTGCCATCTTCTCAATTCAGATGTGGTAATGATGGTCATATGTTTGCCCTTTGTTGTCATAGTGTTCATTATTTAGATATACATACTAATATTATTAGTAGTGTTTAGTATTGTTAAGAATTATTGTTGGATATATAAACCATTTAATCTCATTAAAATAGTTTGAAGATTTAGAGTTGAAATTAATAATCAATTCATTATGTGTATATATATATATATATATATATATATATATATAATTTTAACTAGTACAGATTACAAACATGTAAACAAGTTCTAAGAGCGTACATGCCTAAATTCGAGAAAAGTAAAGTCTTGTTCCACAGGCTTAATGTAAAATTCCATAATTTGTTATATTTGTTTTGCAAATTTTTATCTTCTTTAATTATAAATGTTTTACGTTTTTTTTATTAAATTTCTATTCGAATGGTAGGATGTGTTTGTTATAACCAATTTTATGTGATGAAATGATATTGATTATTTAATTGATACAACCAAAGCTTTTATTGTAAAGATTTTGTATCTACAATAAATTGTTCAAACGATTGCATAACCTTGGTTTTTATTTATATTATTTCAAATCCTCCAAAATACTGAAAAGTAGAAGATCTTAGATGTTGAAACATATACACAATTATTTAGTTTGCTAAAAAAAACTTTGTATGATATTAGTCAATTTCGATTTTACTTTATTGCCTTTTTTGTATAAATGTCAAAAACACAAGTGTTTGAGTAGAGATATAAAGGGATTTGCAATAACAGAAATGTTAGTTATATAGATTTTTGTAGAAATTTATTCATGTATGGCTTGGTTGGTTGCATCCAATTTTATTCCAAAAATATTTTTAATATCTTTTTAAGATTAAAGTCTTTGTGAGGTTTAGACATGAAACATGTGGAATTCTTTGTTTCACAGACTGATCAAGGTAAGTCAATTGTAGTTAAATGACAAATCAACCTCAAAATTTCTGGAAAAAATATATATATAGTATTTGGTAGCAATGGAATATATATATATATATATATATATATATAGCAAATTATCATAAATGATTTATTATTCTAAAAATAACAAACAAGAATAGCACATTGGTAATGTAAAAATACAATGAATGTAATTTGCAATCTAAGGTCATCCAAGTATTGTAATTAGTATGATTTTCTAGATAATTAGATGTTTATTGTTATTTATTTTTAAAATAATACTATTTTAGTGTCGCCTATTTGTTTATAAATGTATGTGTATATCTAATAGACAACTTGAAAATGTTTTACATAACTTTTTCATTTTGTAATTTTTCATTTTTGTCCAACAAATTGTACACGTGGTTGCTTTTTGGACATGCACTTATTCTTTCACATTGATTTTGTGCTAGTTACATTATTTCCATTATTATTTCATGTACATTTGTTTCAATTTTAGACATTTGCAGAGGACTTTTTGGAAAACAAACCCAGTATTTCCAAACAATATGTTATCAATTCATGTTCAGTGAGGCAATTTGAAACAATCCACAACTGCTCAAACATACCTATTCATAGTCTTCAACAGCCATGAATATCACTGATGTGTGCATGAGAAGAGTTATTTATTTATTTATTTTAATATAAAATATGCATATCACGTGTGATCTAGTGCAAAGCAAAACTAGAAGTATGTACCCAACAACTCATTACACAACAAATTGTCTTGCCAATGATATGCTAACCATAATATTACATATTCAGGTTTCAAATCCCAATCCAATTAACATGGCTCAACAAATGTCATTAATGAGAAAGAGGCAAACAAACAACAAAACAAAGAACAAAAAAAAAAAAACTCTCCATCCCAAAATGCACAAGAAAGTGGGCTAAAGCAAGTTGAAGCCCATGACTACATTAAGCAAAAAGAAATGTTTCACAAGCCAAATATAACCAAGAGAATGGGGGCTAAAGGGGCAGGGGAGCCTTGAATAACAATAATAGTAATAATAATAGATCAGCTTTGGTTGGGTGTAGCTAAAACCCACACACATAAAAAAATAAAAATAAAAATAAAATCCACCAGATCTCACCACTTTGTCACGAATGTACGCCAACAAATACAATACACACGGACATCGAAGTACGAAATACGATACATGTACCATACATATACGATATGGGATCGCGTTCCCACGGCGGTTAAGGGGAAGCGAAGCAAGGGCGAGAAATTAATTGGTGGGGCAGGGCAAAGCCCTGCCCCACCCTGCCCTGCCCGGATCTTTTCGTGGCCAGGAAGCCAAGCTTGCGCTAAGCTTAGCAAGTGAATGAGTGAGTGAGTGCGATGCCGCAATAACAACGAAGTGTGCTGCCATCGCCCTTTCGCTAGCAAGCAAGCCCTCGTCTTCGTCTTCGTCTTCTTTCAGTTCGCGGTGGCGTTTCTTCAGATCCATTGCTTGCTGCTGCCGCTGGTGTTGTTGTTGTTGTTGTTGTTGTTGCTGGTGTTGTAGACATCCTTGGCTATGGCGCCCTACCTACCGAGAGCGTCTGACGTAATGTGATGTGGTGGATGGGGGAATTGAGGCGGTGATACGGTTTCGTGGTGGTGGTGGTGGTGGTGGTGTGTGTGTGTGGAGGGAGCTCTGAAAGCTTGTTGTGGCGGATGATTGGGCGCCTTGAACGACTGGCTTGGAACGACGAACCGTTTGACAGGAGACAAGTCACCCCCGGGGGTCTGCGTACAAGTTTGTTCGTTCTCGGGGTGAGGCCCTTGGTTGGGAAGAGTGTTGTGGAGGCGAGTTGCGTGGTGTTGGTCTCTCTGCCTTCGGTGTGAGCTGGTGAAATTGTGCGACAGGGGACGGGGAGGCGTCGTGCATGAAGAGCGTGTGTGCGATGCTGTGATTTGATTGTCAAGGGGCGATTGGAAGATTGGAATTGGTGTGGAGTTGGGCCTTGGTGCCTTACGAAGTGCGTCGTGAAACCCTACGTGCTTGATTCCTGTTTTTGGCCACTTCTTTGTGTTCGCCAGAGTTGGCGATCCCTTTTGTTGGAGGAGTTTGTGGCTTGCTGCTGTGAAGGTGACGGCTAAGGCGAAGCATCGCTGGCAGATGCAGAAGTTTAGGCAGATTGCCTGAGGTTGACAACTATACGTCCAAGTGCTAGTTAAGCACCTCCTTGAAGTGTGGAGGCGGTTGGTTGTGTTTCGTAATTTGCTCTGCCCGGAGATTGTTCTATAAGGCGGGCGCGAAAGGGTCTGTTTCAGGAACCCTACACATATATCATTTGGGAGGGTTCCTGCTCTTGTATTCCTTGTGTATGGTGTGGTTTAGTCGCTGTTGAACAGCCTTTGTTTGGCAGAGTGACAGACCTAAGGATCTTAGCTTGTGCGAAACGGTAAGACAGGAAGGAGTTTTGGAGATTTTGATGGGCTTGGAGATTTAATTGGTTGAAGGTGTGGTCTGACCGGCTTATCTGGAGCTCTCTACCACTTTCACTTTTCATTCTCGCCCGTCGCTCGTGCGCAAAGTGTTTGTGAACATTTTCGGCTTACTTGGGACAAGGGATCTATCAGGTGATGCATCACGCATGCTTCTGAACAAGAGTTCATATATTCATTTTTGTGGAGTTACATGAGGGTTACTGAAGAGATAGATGTCTTGCTATGGCCCCCTTTGTATGTTAAACCTGATCTGCCTTTTAATAAGGGAACCAGTCTCACGCAAGATTCTCCAATTGAATCTAGACTGTCTTCTTTTGTAAGTCTCTTGGTCAAGTATGATATGATAAGAGGCCCTACGCTGGTCTCTGCTTGTTGTCGAAGGGAAGTTAGTGAGGTTTTTTTTTTTTTTTTTTTCTTGACTTTCATGGTATGCTGGAGTGCTGTGATCGAATCCTTTGCAATGTTTTTTTGACATTGTTGATACCCCTTGGAGGGCATTGTAGCTTGTCATGTTATTGAAGGTTGA